AGAGCCAAGTTCCACTTTGACTCTTCTACCGTAAATAGCCTGGTTTCTTGGAAGGCATAAAACTTCCATGGTGATAAACAAAACTTGCTGATAAACTCACCTTGCAGATAAAGAAAAAGCAGCACCCACTTAAATGGGTGGGGGGATATAAAGAGTTTTTTTGGGGTGGGCAGAGACCAGTCTGGGAGCCTCCAAGCACCGGAGAGACAACGGTAGGACCTTGCTGATGAGGGGGCAGCCGGGGGTGGGCACAGAGTGGGGGATCTTGTTTGGCTTCTTGCTTCGCATTTTGTGTGTTTTCCAACTTCCTGAGGGATCCCAGGAAAAGCAGGAAGAAAAGGTATTTTTAGTGCAGCAGAAGGGTCTCTGCAGCCTTTGCTCTCCAGCCCGTTTGAGGGAGCCCCGGGGGGGGCTGTGTGTGCTGGGAGGGATGAACGGGGAGGGTTGAAGGATGCAGGGGGGTCAGAGTGGGAGGAGGAGGGATCTGGGGGGGATTCAGGAGGATTTGGGGCCAGGCTGGTGTCTGCAGAGGTGCCAAGCTTGGCTTCAAGAGCTGGGAGTGGGGCTGGATGGGGAGGGACCCCCCGGCTCCCCCCACAGACCCCATCCCCAGCTGGAAAATGCTCCCCCCAGCCGGGGCTGCTCCTGCCCGGCCCCATGGTGGGTCAGGGTGGCCACGCTCACCCCAAGCCCAGCCATGACAGGGGACGGGGCTGTGTGTCCTCCTGCACCCTGATGGCATCTGCTGCCCTGCTCTGGGGACAGAGCACCGGGCTGGGACGTGTGGGAGGGGAGGTGGGACAGCAGCCCTGCGGGCACCCTGTGGCCTCAGAACTGAACGGGATAATTTGGGGAACATCACAGATAATGCCCTTTTCCATGGGCTGCAGACCCCGGGCTGGTGGCGTGGGCAGCTTGGGTGGTGGTGCTCCCTCCCACACCTCTCGTTAGAGAGCAAGGAGTAACGAGTGGCATTCGCGGGACGTCCTGCTCCGTCCTCAAGACTCGGGGGACACTTTTCCCTTTTCCCTTCCATGGCGTGACAGTGGGATTCACCTCTCCCAGCCTCTCCCATGGTCACCACCCAATAAAGGCCCTCATGAGCCTTTGCTGGCTGGGTAAAAGTCACTGGTGAGAAGGGATGGCCTCCACCGCTGCCTGGAATGAAACCTCTGCGTAGATGCATTGTCATCTCCTGACTGTCTGGTTTTCTCCTTTAGGATTTTGGGTCTTTCCTTCCCCGTGTTCTTCCTCCTGAACTGTTGGAGTGGTCTCCAACTTCTTCTCAACACCCCAACCTTATCTACTGACCTGCCATGTGATGGTGTGCTGTCTCAGTTGAGCTGGGGGACCTTGGCTGGCTGTGACCTCTGGAAAGTCAAGTGTCTGGCCAAAAGGAGCATCTGCTGTGAGGTGAGGTGAATCAGACCCCACCTCCATTTTGCTTATTGCCTAAATCTTCACTGACTTTAAAGGAAAAGCTGAGACTAAAGGCTCCAAAACGGGTCCAAGAGCCCGGCCATGAGCACCTTGGATCAACACCAGTGTTGGAAAGGCTTTGTAAGAGCTTTGCGTCCTTGGTGGGACGAGAGCTGAATGCATGGGAAGGCTTTGTGCCCTGAGTAAATCTCTTCAGTATCCAACAGAACTGAGACAGAATTCCCCCCCAAGTGTGGGTGTCAGGAGGATGGGGCCAGTCTTTTCTCAGGGATGCCCAGTGACCGGAAAAGAGGAAACGGACACAAACTTGAACACAGGGAGTTCGGTCTAAACACGAGGAGGAACTTCTTTCCTGTGAGGGTGTCAGAGCCCTGGAAGAGGCTGCCCAGAAAGGTGGTGGAGTCTCCAACTCTGGAGATCTTCAAACCCACCTGGACACGTTCCTGTGCAACCTGCTCTGGGTGGACCTGCTCTGGCAGGGGCTTGGACTAGATGATCTCCAGAGGTTCCTGCCAACCCCTACATTTCTGGGATTCTGTGAGACCCCCAGGTCATGAGGTGTCCCAGGCTGGGCTCCTCCAGCAGCCAAGTAGGAGGAATCCCTGGGCTCCAGCTGCTGGAGAGAGGCCATGGACTCTCTAACATACTTTAAAAAGGTCTGGTTTTCTTTTCGGCAGCCATGGGTTTCCAGGACGACATACCAGAGGATGATAAAAAGGCTAAAAAGCTGCTGGCAGAAGCATGTGAGAAGGAAGGGCTGGATTGTGCGTACTGGCTCCCCAAACTGTCCCAGAAGCTGGGTGTCAAGTCCAGAGAAGCCCTGAAACACCTGCAGTACGAAGACTACCTGGAGCTGGAGTGCGAAGTACGGTACCGCTGGGAAAAACAGGCGCTCCAGAAACTCCTGGAACTAACAGAGAACAAAGGAAGATTTGAGAAGCTGCAGAAGGAGTGCTTGGTGTATATCCCAGTGTGGGATATAATCCTCTTCAATTCTAGAAATGACTTTAGGTCTACCTATCAAGTGAGCAGCAGCCTCAGGGCTGCACACGAAGCACTAACGACTCAGAGTGCCAGCCCCATGTTTGGAGAGGAGCTGGTCAGTGCGATAGAAGAGGCCAGGGTTTTCATGGAGCACGTGAAGGGCTGGGACTTAACGGTGATTGAAAGGAAGCTGCTCAAGCTGATTAATTTCAAAGAGCGTCTGAACGAAAAAACCAAGAACCATAGTGTCTGGGTCAACGTGTGCCTGTCGGACAAAGCTCTGCAGGAGTTCCTGGGGAACATCGTTGAGTTTTGCAAGAGCTCACCTCCAGACAACATCACCTATATCAAGTCTCTGCTGAGGTGCCTCCTGGATCCTTACATCAACTCTGTCAAGGACTTCCCCAGCTCTTCCTCCATTATGCAATGGATCTTCCACACTGAGAAAACGCTTCCCGAAACTCCCAATGTTTCTGAGCTTGACGATCTCACCAAGACACTGCTGCAGATGAAGGACTACATCCAGGAAGTCACCTACGCACCAGAAACCTCTGCATCTGCTGTTCATGAAGCAAAGGTAAAAGCCACCTTGACTGCAAGCCTAGCGATTTACTCCTTGCTCCAGTGTCTCCAGGAAAGGGCACAGAAAGACGTAGAACTGTTGGTGCTCCTAATTACGACCAGCATGGGGTACCGGGTGGAAAGCAGCACGTTTCAGTACCTCCTTGGATGTCCAGAAATTACCTTCATGACAACTCAAATGCAAACGGGACATCAGGAGTATCTGAATCTGAAGGAGCAAGACCTTTACAGAGCCCAGGCCCACCTGCTGCTGACGGGTCTGACTGTAACGCCCGAGCATGAAGCGGTGTCCCCGGAGCAGAAGAAGGAGCGATTAGTTTTCATGGAAGATCACATGAAAAACTTATGGTCCACAGAGATAACAACTCTCCTCGAAAAGCACCGTGCACTCAAAGACTGGGAGATGCTGGAAAGTGGCTTACAGTCCCTCATCAGTGGGCACCTGGATGACACCTGTGATGAAGCGAAGAAAGACATCATAACCAAAGACATGGAAGACACTTTTCAAAGAGTAGAGCCTTCCAGTCAGCCCAAACCCACACCTGACACCGGCAAATCCAACGCAGATCAAGCTGTTGCAAACCAAGACTTCCTCCACTTACTCAAGCGCCTTGGACTAGAAAATCACTATCCCAAAAAGATGGGGATAGAAGATTTCCACATCATATACAAGACGTCCTTACACGACAGCCAGCCCAGCAAGGACAATGAACTACCGTTTTACTTCTTGCAAAAGCTATTAACGGTGGACTATCGGGTGAGGTACCTGACTTGCAAGGAGGAGAACAACCCAGGACCCACACCCGGGCCAAACCCCACAGAGCAAGAACAGGAAACCTCAGATTCCTTTGAGGACTTTTTCACTGATTTGGATAAAGCCCGCAGACCTGCACCCAGGGAGAGCCGTGTGCACCCCATGGACCTCCAGATGGCAATTTTTCATTGTGCCGACGATTTCATGAGACAGTACATGTTGACAAAGCTTGCTTTCTGCCAATTTGCGCTCCCTCTGCTGGTACCGAACCCCTGCACTTCACAGATCGAGCTGCCCATCTGGTCCCTCAGCCAAATCAAAAAGAGCTGGAAAGGGGCTGAGAAGTCGGGAACGCGGGGGACGATTAAGAGTCACAAAAACAAACTCATCTACCAGGCAGAGACGCCCATCGTGTCCTTCATCCGCATCGGCAGTTCTCCCTCCTCTTCCAAGTCTCAGATCCTGAATGCTCTGCTGAGCAAACAAAAGCACGACACTTTCTTCCACCGGCACTGCAAAGGCAGCACCAAAGACTGTCTGCTGATGAAAGGGGTGGTGGAGATCTCCTGGTACTGTCCCCGGGGCAGCGACGACGACAGCTTTGGCTGCTGCGTGGCTTTCTGCAACCTGCACGGAGACGCGAGGGACCACAAAGAGCAGCTGCAGTTTTTGCAGGAGATATCTGCTGTGAACGTGGCTTTTGTGTCCGAGTCTGACCAGAGCGACAGGAGAACCATGACAATTTTGCGTGACCTGTGGCAGTCGCAGAGGCCTTTGGTTTGTCTTTTCACTGAAAAGGAGAATGTGGCAGCTGGCCGATCCAGCCAGAACGTCAAAATAGGTATGAAGAACAGAAACGAGGCAGAATTGATGGAGGAGCTGAGCAAAACCATCAGGGATCTCCTGGAAAAGTCTAACACCCTTTTCAGCCTCGACGCCTGCCTGGACAGAGCCCGCAAGCACGGCTTCGTAGTCGATGAGGATACCGACGCGTGTGTGACAGCCAAAGGAAAGGCTGAGGCGCTGGTGAAGCTCCTGAAGGAAAAGAAGTTGTTTGAGATCAAATCCCAGCTGCTGCCTCTTCAGGGAAAACTGTGGTACATGTGGTGTAAAAAGGACAAGGAGCTCACTCGCCTGCAGGAAAAGGGGAACAAGAGCATCGAGCACCATCGGAGCCAAATTGAGTCAGAGAAGTCAGCCATAAGAAGAAAGCAGCTGGACAAAGCGTTCCCCCTCAACCAGCTGATGAAATCGGTCCTTGATTTTCTCCAGTCGCAGCCAGCAGACAGCAAGAAATACTTCCTGCAGTGGATGAAGGTCTTTATGGACGACCTGTCCTCCGACCGCCTCGACGAACTGAGGAGGCAGTATCACCAGTTATGGTCTGAGATCCTGGCAATAAAGAAAAACAGCGAAAAAAATGATATGAATCCTGTGCTGATGAGTGAGTTAGAAGCCCTCTCCAATGAGATCAACGATTCCTCCATTGGCCTCGAGCATATCTTGAGAGAGGTAGGGCAGATCTATGAAGCTCTGGAATCAACTAAATCAAACAATGAATATTTCAACAAACTGCCTGAAATTGCAGTTGATCTGATGGTTTCGGGGTATCCCATCGAGCTGATGGATGGGGATGCTTCTTACGTACCACTGCGATGGGTCAGGGCAATCTTTGACAGTTTAATCGAGGAGCTTGGAGACAAGCGAGTGTTCGTTCTCTCGGTGCTGGGCATCCAGAGCACAGGGAAGTCAACCCTGTTGAACGCCATGTTTGGGCTTCAGTTTAATGTCAGCGCAGGGAGATGCACCCGGGGAGCGTTTATGCAGCTAATTAAAGTGGACGAGAAGCTGCAGCAGGAGGTGGACTTCGATTACATGCTCGTTGTTGACACAGAGGGACTGCGCGCCATCGAGTTGGCCAATAAACAGTCCCTGAATCACGACAACGAGCTGGCCACCTTTGTCATTGGCATCGGCAACATGACTCTCATCAATATCTTTGGAGAAAATCCTTCAGAAATGCAAGATGTCCTTCAGATCGCCGTGCAGGCTTTCCTGAAGATGAAGCAGGTACATCTTTCCCCGAGCTGCCTCTTTGTACACCAAAAGTTGGGAGAAGTAATTGCCAAGGAGCAGAACATGGAAGGACAAAGGCGTCTGCAGGAAAAGCTGGATGAAATGACTCTGATCGCTGCCCAGCAGGAATTCTGTGATGTCTCCTGCTTCAGCGACGTCATCCGCTTTGACGTCAACACCCACATTCATTACTTTGCTCACCTGTGGGAAGGAAACCCCCCAATGGCACCGCCCAACCCCACCTACAGCCAGAACGTCCAGGAATTAAAGAGCAAAATCCTCCAGGCTGCCAAGAAGGAGGCACAGGGCAGCGTTTTGAGGTTCTCCAGCTTGAAAGATCGAATTAGTGACCTCTGGAACGCTTTGCTGAATGAAAACTTCATTTTCAGCTTCAAGAACTCATTGGAGATCGCTGCATACAAGAAACTGGAAACCGCCTTCAGTAAGTGGACCTGGGATCTGAGGAGCCACTTCTTAGACTTGCAAATGAAACTGGACAAAAAAATTTGGAAAGGGGACTTGCAGAAGGTCACCACAGACCACCTTGAAAAACAAGTGCAAGAGACAAGCGATGCCATCCTGAAAGACATGGAAAAGTATTTCAGTGAAGACAGAGACTGTGAGATCCTGGTCCAGTGGAAGAGCAGCTCGGAACTGAAGCTGAAAGAACTGAAAGAATCTCTTCTTCTCGAAACGAGGAAGAAGTGTGAGAATCTTATTGAACTGAGGAAGAACCAGTCTAAACTGGATGAAAGGAAGTCAGAATATGAGAACGAGCTCCTGAAAAAGAACAGGGAGTCGGCTCTGTCCCTAAAAGGTCAGAAGTTGAGCGAAAAAGAACTGAGAGACAAATTTATTTGTCTCTGGGCAGACTGGATTTCTGAAGTCTCCTCTGCTGCTCCCCCTCTTGAAGAGGTTGATATCGATGTGGACATAGAAGCTTTCTTTACCTGTTTCCAGATTTCCTGCCAAGGAGCCACTTCTGTCACAACATTTGCCATTTTCCTGTGTGACAAGATTGCCCCAGCTCTCCGGCAGGCGGTCTATGAGAGGACAGCTCTTGCCATAGCTCGAGACATGAAGGCTAAAGTCCCAGATTTCAGGGGCAACAGGGCCTCCCTGGAAGTTTGCCTGCTGAGGTACCTGGCAGAAGAAGAAGACTTTGAGATGTTCGAGACCTACCTTAGTAGCCCAGAAGATTTCTTACAGCTTTACATTTGGAAGCGTGTTGATGAGTACTGCTCTGAGAACAGGAGGCTGGAGACGTTGTTAGAGAACTCCCTCACCCTCTGCTACGAATGCATCCTCTCAGCTGTTTCTGCATCAACCAAGGTTGTCAAAGACCGAATAGACAGAAATGACAAAATCTCTCTTTGGCTGGATGCATTTTGCCAGGAACTTGGAGAGGTGCTAAGCTTGCCCAGAAGGGACCTGAAGGGCATCGAGCACCAGGAGGTAACAGACATAGAGTTCCTGAATAACGCCATGACAGAATCGCTGTCTGCCATGAAGGACCAGCTCAAGAAGGAGCTCGCTGCTGCTGACATGAACTCCTTCGAAATCCAGCCTCATGAAATCCTGGCGGAGCAGTTTTCGGGGTGCTGGGAGCAGTGTCCCTTTTGTGGGGCTCTCTGCACAAACACCATGCCGAACCATGACGTGGACCATCAGCTCCTCTCCCATCGGCCAGAATTTTTGGGGGGATACAAGTGGCATAAGACGGACCATCTGGTCATTGATATTTGTTCTAGTCTCGTCGCAAGTGACTGTTCATTCAGGATCGGTGAAGACAAATGGATGCCCTACAAGACATACCGGGATGCAGGACCTCCTTATTCCACTTGGAACATTCTTCCTGATACATCCATGCAAGTGTACTGGAAATGGTTTGTGTCTCATTTCCGGGCAGACCTAGAAATATTTTACAATGGGAAATTTCAAGGCAAAGGAGCAATCCCTGATTCCTGGCAGAGAATTACAAAGCAGGAAGCACTTGACGAGCTGGAGAAACAGTAGGCCATGTTGATAAGAAGGAAGAACCACAACTGCTTTGTGTTTTAGAAGAATGTGGTACAAGTCTATCCACAAAATATTGTTATCACGACTATGACCCCAAGCCACAAGAAGAAAATGATGTATAATGGCTCATAAAGTTGGGTGAAATCAGGTGAGATACTCCTGCCATTGTCCAAAAACTCTCTTCCTTCATGCTGAAGTCAACACCCTCTTCCCTTCTTGCCATAAGCATTTACCTCTCCTTTGTCTTAGAGAAAAAATCCCAAAACCCCATCCCCTGCAGCAAGCAGTCATATGGCCAAGATGAAGACCAAATGGCCAGTGAAGAGCAAGAAAGCACATGGGCCTGGTGAACTTTCCTCCTGCTCTTAGCCATGGTAGCGACTGCTCTTGCCACTTGCTTTGCCATTGAGCAAAAACCTCCATATGGCAGATCTGGAGAATTCTGTGTCTTTGCGGCTTCCTCAGCAGCCATCGGTGGTGTGTGACGTTAGCGTTGGTGCCATCAGGACAGGCTGGTGGCAACAAAGCTATGGTCTGGAGAACATGGAACCAGCTGGGACGGCACCACTGAGGTGGTCGGTGGCCTTTGCTGCTGGAAATCCAAGAGCCAAACCCTCCCGTAGAGTTGCTACAGTGGCGATTCCAGTATAATCCCTTGCAGTCTTTGCTAATAAAGTAGTTGAGTGGGACTGGACTGGTCTCTGTGGCCTTTATTTTAAGGTTGAGTGAGACCTTAGGGTCAGTGTGGTGGAGACAGGCGGGTGATGACTGGGTCCGTGGAAGGGTGTGTGGGAGGAGAGTGTCTGCTCCTTTCAGGGGGTCTGGTCAAAGACCTTCTTTGGTGTCTCAAGGGATAATGTGAAGGGAAGGACGCCATCCAGAAGAACGTGTGGTGAAACAAATCTGCCTGAGAAAGGGTCAGGGGGACAGTGGTGGGAACCAGGCCTGGTTGGTCACACTGACTGAGGAGCAAGAGGGCGAGAAGGTTTGTTCCAGGGCAGTGAAGTGATCAGGTCAACTGGGAAACCAAGGGAAAAAAGGAGAAACAATCCCTCCAGGGCTGGGGACTCCACCACTGAGAAAGGGTCAGGGGGGCAGTGGTGGGAACCAGGCCTGGTCGGTCACACTGACTGAGGAGCAAGAGGGCGAGAAGGTTTGTTCCAGGGCAGTGAAGTGATCAGGTCAACTGGGAAACCAAGGGAAAAAAGGAGAAACAATCCCTCCAGGGCTGGGGACTCCACCACTGCCCTGGGCAGCCTCTTCCAAGGCTTGACAATACTTCCATGAAGAAATTTTTCCCAATATCCATCCTAAAGCTCCCCAGTGACCCACAGCCTCCCCAGCACTGACTGCGTTCCCCACCTCGCTCCTAATGACCAGGCAGTGAGTATGGAACCCACCCTGAGGACCCCGTTTCTCCAGGGAGAGCCCACAAGAGCTTTCCTACCTCTGCCAGGGACACCCCAGCTGCTCATGGTGGGGTTGGTGCTCCAGCACAGGCAACACTGCCCAAAGCTGCCCCTGGCATGGGGCTGCCTGCTCAGCAGAGAAAAGAAAAAAAAAGGGGAGGAAAAAAAGAGGAGGGAGGAAAAAAAGAGGAGGGAGGAAAAAAAGAGGAGGAAAAAGAAAGATAAAGAAAAAGATTTAAAAAAAAAAAAAGATTTAAAAAAATAAATAAAAAAGAAGAGGGGAAAGGGAGGGGAAAGGGAGGGGAAAGGGAGGGGAAAGGGAGGGGAAAGGGAGGGGAAAAGAGACAAACACTATTAAAAGACTTGGAAAATTTTATTCTTTACTGAACTTCAATAGGTTTTATTGTTTGGTTTAACCACAATAAATATCTCAGTAACAGCCCTCATCAGCCTGGAATTCCAACCTCTGCACCCCAGCTCCCAGCGCCAGGACTCCAGGGCAGGGATGGGGGGGCCGGGACCCCTGCCCACGGCCTGGCTGCCTTTGGGGGCAACCCCATCCCAGGGGACCGAGCCTGGCAGAGCCCCCCCAGCCCCAGGGGAGCCAGGATCCTGCCAACCTCCTGGGAAAGGCTGGATGGGGAGGGGACAGACCCAAACCCACCCCACCAGCACCAAACGCGTCTTCCCTGCATCATTTCACAGCCCCGTGGCAGCAGGATGGCCGCCGGCAGCTTTGGTTCTCCAGCCCCGCCATGCTGGGGGGTGGCAGGAGAAGAACTGGGCTGAAGAGTCTAATTTGTGTCTCCAAATTGCTTCTAGAAGGTCGAGGAGATGGCATCACCAGCTCCTTCCCCACCCTTCCCAGGAAAAATGAGCAACCACACGGACACGGACCTTCCAAGATGTTCTGAGGGTTGCAACAGCCACACGGACCACCCGGAGAAGATGCTCTGAGGGTGCAGAGAAGTTCCCTGTCCTGCACAAGCAGAAACCCAGAGCAGGGACCATTCACAAAACCACTCAGGGGAAAGGGTTGGGTCTGAAATGCCCTGTTTCACCCATTTCTGGGAGTTGGGTTCGACACCGCTCCCTTTGCTTTGCCTTTAGGTGCAGGTTACAGGGGGGGAAGAGAGGGATTCAGCGCTTGCCCAGAAGACCAGAGCCAAAACCAGGCCAGGACCCACCCCCCTTCTCTGCAGAGGGGATGCAACCAGCACAACGGGGACCTACCAAACCCAGCAGCCACCTCAGCTGAAAGCATGAGGGACAGAAGGTGGTCAGTCTGAGACACAGGGAGGGATATTTTGATTAATGAGGTCTCCAACCCAAAGCACAGCACCAGCTCCCGCCAAAGAGCCACCACAGGTGACAAGATGAACGTCACCTCAGAGGGTGAGCAGCCGATTTCACCAAGAACCTCTTCTCCTGGGGCAGTTTCACCCTGACCACCTCCTTGGACACCCATCTAGAGACCTCTCAAGCCAGGTCTGACCGTGCCTGGATGGGCCAAAGTGTCTTCTACCAACTAACAGTGACCTTTCCCAGAAGGAAAGAGGTCTCCGTAGCACCCATCATCACTGTGTCCCACCAAGAACAGCATCCAGGCCACCTCGGCCACCGCTTTGACACCCCAGGGTGAGGCAGAAGAGATGGGGAACAGCAGGAGCCCAAGTTTGCAGCCCCAGGCCAGGGGGTCGGAGATCTGCACTGGAAAATCAAAGAGTCAATGAGCTTTTGGCCAACCCAGCTTCATCACCACCAAGGCAAGGCCGACCCACTGCACCAAGAGATTTTAGGGTGGGAGGGAACACTGCTGCGCCCAAGGACTCCCCCTTCTCAGATAAGCAAAGCACATTAAGCAAAAAAGGGAAAAATAAACCCCAAACTGGAAATCAGAGTGCTTTGGAGCAGTTCCTGCAGGTTTGGGAAGGACACAGAGACCCCATGCAGAGTTTTGAGGTGACCAGAGCCCGGTGACACCTCCTTTGCACAAAAATCAACTGTTCCCTGGGATCTGTGTATAGAAAAAAGAAAGGTCTGAGCTCATTTCCAGAAAGCACCGCTTCTCCAGAGACTTCCCAGCTCTATCCCAAGCAGGGGCAGATGCTCCCAGAGGAGAAGAGGTTTGGGACTTTACTGGAACTGACCCAACTGGGATCAAACTAGCTCTGGGGCTACAAACTTGGTGCCCCCAGGGGAGTAACATCAGGCTGGCTCTATTTAAGGAGCTTAACTATCCGTTTCCAGAGCCTCAGAAGCTCACGCTTGCACCATTCCGCTCCCCTGGCCCTGGCAAAGCCACCGTTATCAGGTGGCTGGTGTTCAGAGAGGACACCGTGCCAAGCCCTCACAGTGACAACCACTGAATAGAGAAGTTAATTGTGGGGCAGACGCACCAGGGGAAGGAAGCAGCTAAAACCACAGCCCTGCAGAAGCTGGGTTTTCACAATGTTTGCACGCCCACAGGTCCGCCACAAGGTCTGTACCCATAAAACATCGCCCTTAGTGCAAGAGGTGGTTTTACCCCAAACCCCAGGAGGTCCCAAAACCTGCAGGTCACCTCCTGTCCCAGCTCCTGGTCCCTGAAACCACAGAACTGAGATGGAAAAGGCTGTGCAAGTCCCGGGGTGACACGATGGTGTGTCCCAGGGACCCACCAAAACCTGATTCAGAGCAGCGCGGTGGGGAGCGGGAGGAGCCGGCAGCGTCGGCCACCTCTTCCCACCACACAAGGACCTGCCTGGAGCCTGATGTCCCTTCACGAGGGACCTGAAGGACAGACTGAACCCCCCCCCACCCCAGTGCTGAACAGGTTCTTTTTTCTCGGTAATACTCTGTGTGGAAATAAAATGTGCAAAACAGATTTAGGAAAGCATGAGATGGTTCCATTATCAGTAGGTCCACCAGTAATTAAGGAAATATGATGATTAACACTGTCCCTGGAAGAGGGGACAACACAGATCAGCTCTCCAACACCAGGCAGAAGGAGCCGAGCGAGCTCACGTCCCTGTCCCATCCCAAGGAGCACATCCCACAAGACAAACCACCACCCCTGTCCCACAACCACCCCCGGATGTCATTAGCGAGGCAGGAAGGTGTTTATTCTTCAGACTTCAAACCATTATTATTCATAAAGAGCGGGTTTCTCCGCCTGCCACAGGGTTGGCTCTCTGGGCTCCAGCCTCTCCCCTGTGCCCCGAGCCCAGCCCCACTCTCTCCCCGCTCTGGCCACAAGCCTCCAGTTTCCCAGCACTGATTTAAGGAGATATTTTTCTAGCTTCAAGGTGCGATCAATTAAGGCACCAAAAGACCCAGGGCTCTCCAAAGATGCAGGCAGGAGAGATCCTTCTCCCACAGCACAGATGGGAGAGAGGAAGCCCAGCTTCCACAAAAGGGGGGGTATTTTCCAGGGGGTATTACGTGGTGCAAGAAGCCCGGCAGCTCACAGCCAGGTGAGACAAGAGGCAGACTGCGCCGTGCAGAGACACAGCAACACCCCAAGATTTAAAGATCAGATGGCTTCTCCAGCCTTCGGGGCCCAGCAAGGCTCCCGGGAGGAGAGGGGATGAGGCAAGCGCCAGGTTTGGGACCCCAGAGCTTGGCTGGAAGCCCCAGGGAATAGCTCAGTTATTCCCTGGTCCTGCAAACACATAACTAGAACATAAATCACCCAATCACCACTTTCCATCAGCATGGCCAGCACAATTTTGCCGCCTGAACACCTTATCCCAATAGGATAAGCGCTGTGTCCCATGTTAAAATTCCCTGCAATTCTCGTGCCAGCATGACTTAAATTTATTCTCTCTTCATAATTACGATAGTTCATTAAATAGCAATTCATTTTGTACACTTTGGGGTCTGGTGGTTTGGTTGTTTTTTTTTTTCCCTGTACAACATCGGTAAAATATATAGGAGTTAAACTGCTTTATTAAATAAACTCTGAAAATGATTTGCCCCCTGCCTTCTCCAGGACTAACCAACCCTTCCGGAGCTCCTCGCAGGGCGTACCGTGAGCTCGCTCAGGATTTCGAGTCTGCACGACAGTGATTCAAATTTACAAAAAGAAAAAAAAAAAAAAACAAAAAAACAAAACCAAAAAAAGCATTAAATAGTCGTTTACACTTGGAAGGTTTCCTAAAGCAGGCGGAGTCTCCGACCTGCCGAAGGAAAAGGCGGTGACCAAGCGTCTAGGAAGGGCCTGGCACAATGATCAGTGTGAAAAGTGAGTTTGTTCCCGTGGTAATTACATCTGCCCCATCTGCTGTGCCTGTTCGCTTCCGGATGCAGCCTCTCCAGAGCCTGGGTTTAAGCTACACTCTTCATTCAAGCACAGGTTCTTCATTAAATAAAGTGAACGGAAAAGAAGAAAAAAAAAAAAAAATCAGCATTCAGTCTTCGCCACCCCACTCTTAATTACAAAAACAACTTTTAAAAAAAAATAATAAATCAATGCAAACACGTCTTTTACGAATGGACAGTAAACAAATATATCCCTGGATGAGAAATGCAGCCGCTGGGGACAACGGTTTGGAAAAATCAAAGTGATATTTGGGAAGGACCCGCCACACAACCGCCCGCCAGCTTTCCAGAAGCGCACACACCCCCAACACCGCGCTCCTTACGGTGGGGAAGGGCGATCTGCAGCCCACGCTGCCACACCAGGAGAGCCTCAGGCAGCACAAAATGACCCAAAATGGCAAGTTTGGGGTCAAAACAGGAGAGGGGGGGAGCGAGCCAGGCTGGGGCTGGCTGCTTTCCGCTGCCGGTCGGAGCCCGGAGCCAGGTGGGGAACAGAGAGGGACACGCTGGAACTCAGCCCAGACGTGGCCCCAAGCACCCACAACTCCAGCAGGGGTGGCAGAAAACACCTTCCCACTTTTACAGGAAACAGCCCTGATTTTCCCCACACCCCCCCCATACAGAATATTACTAGAAGTTTTGTGTGGTGTTCTTTTTTTTCTCCTCTTAAAAAAAAAAAAAAAAAAAAAAGGTGCAAGTGTTTACCCAAACAGGTGATTGCAGGGCAGAACGGGGGAGAACTCTCACCATCTGCTCCCTACAGACCAGCCCAGGATGAAGGATGTCCTGGCAGGATCGGGGACAGACAGGAAACCCCCCTCTCCCCCCAGCAACCCCCAGGATGTTCCCCTGACCTTACAGAAATCACGTTATGTTGATTTTGGTGACGGGTCACAACGCTTTGCTCAGGTAAAGCCACTCGCGTCCCCAGCCGGCTTTACCTCAGCAAGAGCTGGAGTTTGAGGTTTCACTGGGAACATTCAGCTGGTCTAATGTACAGTAATAGTGACCTGAAAAACTACCCTCCTTGTCCAGTTTCACCCCAAAAACCCAAAGCTTGCATTGGAAGAAGAGCAGCGGAGGCTGCCCCGTACCAGCCGTGCCCCGGCTGCTGCCGATTCCGTGCGCATTTTGCCCTGATGTCTGTCCAGAGGAGAGGTTTAGATCCGTGGTGATGGTCGAAGTATTTACAGGGATTTGCAGCAGTTATTTACAGTACTTCTGCAGACTGCAAGCTGATTTTCTCTTCCTCCACTCCTAGTCAATCCGGCGTGGGCTTCTTTAGCGAGAAGGGCCGTATATTGAAGTGCCTGCTCAGCTGGCTCACCTGGGGAGGAGGCGGACGACAGGTTGAGGAGGAGGAAAGTGGGCAGCGCACCAGACCAGCTCCCTGTATGGCCCACAAAGCCCTGACACATTCCTGCACTCACTTCCCCCACCATCGCCCACCCTGCACCCACTTTGCCCACCAAGTCCCACCCTGCCACCTTCCTGCACCCCCTTTCCCCACCATCGCCCATCCTGCCACCATCCCGCACCCACTGTCCCTGTCCAAGGAACAGGATCCCCTCCATCCCTGCCCTCCTCGGGAGGCAGAAACACCTGCCCTGAGCCCAGGCATGCAGGATCTCACCCTGTGGTGCTGCTCCCTTCAGTAGAATTGTTAATAATTCGCTTGAATTAATTTGATCATCTCCAATATCTATACAGAACCATACAATTGTCCAGGTTGGAAGAGACCTTTCAGATCATCGAGTCCAACCATCAACCCACCACTGACCCATGTCCCTCAGCACCACGTCTGCCCAGCTTTGAAATCCCCCCAGGGATGGGGACTCCACCACTGCCCTGGGCAGCCTCTGCCAAGGATTGACAACCCTTTCCATGAAGAATTTTTCCCCAATATCCATCCTAAACCTCCCCTGGCACAACCTGAGGCAATTTCCTCTTGTCCTATCGCCTGTTCCTCGGGAGACTGACCCCCCATATGAAAAATCACTCCCTGAATCCATTTGCAACCCAAGCTTGGGGTCAGGAACTGTGCCTTGACCATGAAGATACCCACAGGAGGGAACCCAGCACCACATCATCAGGGCCCTTTCACAGCAGCCTCTGGAAGAAGCTTTCATCACCTCTTTTGAGGACACGAGGGGAAAAAAAAAAACCAAAGGACTGAGAGGTGCCCCAGGAAACAAGGTTTTGGGTGGGTCAGGAGGATAAAACGGATGGTGTGGCATCGGAGTCTGGTGACTGGAAGGTGACAGTCACTGCAGGATTGGGAGCAAGCAGTGCTGAGCAGCACCAGGGGCTGAGCTGGGCACAGAGACAGGGCAGAGAGTTTATCCCAAATCATTTATCCTGAATTCAGAGGGGTTTGGGATTACATCCCAGTCACAGAGCCTTAAAAGGCTCCTCAGCTCCAAGTTTCTTTTCCCCTGGAAGAGGAGACTGCACTGAAAGCTGGAGGGGGGGCGGAGGGGAGCAGAGGACTGAGCAGCTCGGTGCAGGTGATGGGCAAGCCTGGGCAGGAGGATTACACCACCCGCTCCATCCCCATCCCCAGCTATGATTCCAAGACCAAATTTATTTAAGCTTCTTAGCTATTCAAATCCTTCTCGCACAGAAGCCTCATTACACTAATTGGAAAGACAAGACAGCCTGGCTGTTACTCCTTTGCTGTAATTACAGTTCAGACTCCACTCTGGGGGTTCCCCATTAGAGCTGGTGTTCCTAGGGGACAGGGCAGCAGCCACGCAGGGGACATCAGGTCCCTTGCCCTATGTCCTCAGCAGCTTCCCAGGGCATTTCTGATGGGACTTGGGTCTCCTCTGAGTTTGTTTTATCTCTTAAGTAAAACTTAGAGAGTCGGGCACAGAGCAAGGGGAGCAAATTGGTCCCTGGATCTCCACCATGCAGCAGGGAAGGTGACAGGGCACCCCGTATTCTCCAGCAGGGACATCCCCACCCCATCCTAGCTCTCCCAGTGTCCTGAGGGACACCAGACTGACTTCTCTTCTAATGCTGGGGAAAACTCCACTTTTGGAAGACTCCAGGGTTTGAATTGGTGAAAATATTTACTTTACAGCGAGCTGGGCTGTGTGGGATTCAAGGTCTCGGTGTTTTCAATCCTCGCCTGGTGCAAGTGCACAACTTCCTATATGGTTGTGGCTTCCTATGAAGCTGCCCCATCCCTGGAGGGGTTGAAGGACCTGGTGCAAGTGCACAACTTCCTAGATGGTTGTGGCTTCCTATGAAGCTGTGGCTGCCCCATCCCTGGAGGGGTTCAAGGGCAGGTTGGAGGGGGCTTGGAGCAACCTGGTGTGGTGGGAGGTGTCCCTGCCCAGGGCAGGGGGTGGCACTGGGGGGGCTTGAAGGTCCCTTCCCACCCAAACCATTCTGTGATTTCAAACTCATCTCTACTACTACAGCTCCCACCACACTGTGTGAAGTTCATTTCAAGCCCACGAGCCTCTCGCCAGGAAGTGACTCGAGGTGTGCACGGTCACAGACGGCACGAGGAGAGTTTGCCCCCTCACGATTATTCTCACTGAATTCTCTCTTTTTAAGCCCGGAAGGGCAGCAGCTCCCAAGCATAACCCACAGCCAAGAGCAGGGCAGCCAAGGCGGCGAGAGTTGACCTACCACGACCACCCCGTAGTGGATGTGGGCCAGGGTGAGGAAAGCTGTCAGCAGGTAGAGGAGCAGCGTCTCGCTCTTGGGGGCCAACCCGGACACCACCAGGAAGAGCGCGGCCGCGATGGGCAGCAGCATCCAGTTGAGAGGCTGGCAGCGGGTGCTGCTCATCTGGCAGACGATCAGTTGGCACTGGAAGAAGAAAAAAAAAAAGCTGTCAGTTGGTGGCCCCAGCATCGACTCTGCGAGCCCAGAGCTGCCCACAGCACAGAGAGGACGGACACAATACGTGCCAATACTGTGCACCTACAACTACCAGCACACAATTGCGCCGGGTTTCTCACCGGGGGTGTTTCTTTGCATTAGAATTCCCATGGGACACGCAGAGCAAAGCCTGGCGAGGCAGGAAGGCAAGAGGGAAACCGGCATCAAGGCCATCTTTGAAAGCAAAAAGGGTTCCCTTGAGCTGTTCCAGCATTATCTGCAGGAAATCCTGCCCAGCAGCAGCATGAGGCGCCAGACCCAGGGCATGGACACATGGAGCTGCTCATCTGCATTTCTGAGGCGATGAGCACAGGACCCTCTGTTAAGGTCTCAAGCAAGAAAAAACACAAGATGCGGCTAAATCGGAATTTGACAAAAGCTTTAGTCCTCCCGGGTCCATCCCGAGTGTGTAGACACACTCGATTTAACTAATTCTCCAGTTTCTCAAGAGCAAGAGCCGCAGCACAAAATTCACACACCCCAAACCCTGTCTACTTCCTTCATTTGATCTTCCGATCCCAGCAAAACAGAAAAGCTGTTAAATTAACCTTCCCATCTCCCTTCTCTCCTCACATTTGAGCTGGTCTTTTTCTTCCTGCCTCCCAAGCATCCTGGAAGGCTTCACACTTCCCAGGAATAAACCAGAGCGTAAAGCAAAAGCCACTTACAGAAATGTTAGCAAAGGCTGTTCCAACCATGAAATAGAAGAGCCTGGGATGGACCTCCAGGATGTCTGTCGGGGACACGAAGATCCACGTGGTGCAGAGGAGGAAGAGCAGCACTGGGGAGACCAGTGGCAGCAGGATCTCATACACAGAGTGGTGCTTCAGGGTGTTATTTTTGTAGGCCCTGGAAGGCAAGCAAATAAATGAAAACACCTGGAAGCACAGTTAAGAAATACCTCCTCCCTGCCTTCAGGAGACGGCCACAAAATCTCACGGGCCATTCTGCTCCCTAAAACTGCCAACATTGGTCAAATCTCAGGGGCCATTCTGTTCCTCAAAACTGCTGACATCAATCAAATCTTGGGGGCCATTCTGCTCCCCAGAACTCCTGATATCAGCCCTAGCAACAGCCAGATGACAAAGATGCACATCTTCATTGTTAACCCAAAAAACCTCTGGATTATCTGGCTCTCTGGGTTGTGACCAGCAGGAGAAGCCCACAACAACTGGGAGCCCTCCTGCGAGACCCCACTGAGGAAGCTGCCACCCCTCAAACCGGGATGTTCTGGTGTGTCAGACCCATTTAGTCACACTGAAGACCATCATCTGAAAAAACACTAAGGAAACCAAGTTCCTAAGGCGTTTTTGGGAGGCTCTGGTGCAGGGAGGGAGGCTTGAGGATGGCAAAACTCACTTGTAGAAGTTGTAGAGGCTCATGGGCAGCGTCACCGTGAGGGCACAAGCTGGAAGAGAAAGAGCCAGGTTATTGCCCCGTGACAGAGGGAGACCATCGCGCACACCCCACCAACGGGAAGGTGCTTGTGCCCTGGTTTAAGTTGCCGGCGACAAAAATAGCTCAGAGTTGCACCCAGAATAGCTCGGCACGTTAAAAAGTAGGTGCTTGTCATCCTGGTCCAAGAGCTGTAATTACAAGCGAAGGTCTGCTATAAATTAAAGACACTTCCATTTTTAAAAAGCTGCATTAATCAGCCCGGTGTTACGCTTTGAACAGTTATAAAGGTTAATTATAATACAGTCTGTAATGAGACAAGAGGCAAGTTCAAACTCCACAAGTGACGTGGCTCTGCACAACAGTTTCCAGTCTTTACAGTGAAGCCAATTTGCTGCTTCTCCCATGGCAAGCAAGGATTTGGGGTTCCCACTGTGCAAAAAAAATGTTTTTGTCATTTAAACTGACAAATAATACAAAGAATCTAAATAAATTTGGAATTCTAGACCTCAAAAGGGAACATCACCCCCTCAAGAGTCTATCACAACTCCTCCCGTCTTCATCCAGCAGCAGGTATTTTAACAGAGCTGGAAACATTCCTGCTTTTAGTAACCCAGCTCCTATCCAAGTGCACAAATCCAGCCACAGCAGGCATCGTGCTCTATTTCTCATAAAGGAAAAACACATTTATTATTCATATGCTACGTTATACGACTGCCAAAGGAAAGCTCAGAATATCCACCTGAGGAAGAGAAGTGTAAGCATGAGGTTTAACACAACTCAAGATGTATGGACTTGGCGTTAGGAGGCTACAATTAACCCCTAAAGAAAGGAATATAGACTAAGAAAAATTAAATTAAGAAAGAACTTCTGAATAAACAAGATTTCATCAGCAAAGACAGCTCTCCCTGCTGAGCTCCACCCGCATCACTCTCCCCTTTGCAGTGGCTTGTTCTGACTGAGCACTGGAAAGAAAAGGCTGAGCTTTTATTTAAATTTATTCTTTAAATGTATTTTTCAGCATGGGCACAAAATACAGCCAAGGTGCGAGTGCAGCACTCTGCTTCCTTGCTCTTTTGGACCACCCAGACCCAGGCAGGCTGGAGTTAAACTTCTCCAATGTAAGAAGGCAGCAACTCTGAAACCCTGGGAAAGGGCAGACTGGGAGAACACCCTTAATTAATCACTTCAGTAACGACCTACGGGAGCTCCCATTACAGCACACACAACAGAATTAGCATAGAATTAAGACATTTGGGTTTGGTTAAAAAGGTGGAGTTTAAAAGACAGGCTTCAACATGGAGTTTCTTACCAATAATCATTGCAGTGAATAGGTCTCTATATAAGAAATTAAACAGGAAAGGTGCATACCAGGCCTCCACTCCCACAAAGGCTGTCACTATGTAGACAATGGAAATGGTCTGGAAGAAAGCAGAAGAGAAGCAGGCGTGAGCCACCCCAGGGCAAGTATGCCTTGAGACACACCACAGTCCCTTCTCCCCACCAGCAGGAGGGAGAAAAATTAATAAAATTTTTTAAAAACCCACAAAGATCCCCGATGTTACAAGATAAGGTCTAATTAGCAAAATAGCTGAGAAGGACACAACCAGGAGCTGCTCCTCACACAGCTTGAGCTTAGGAGATGCTCAATACTACACGTTGCAGGGATCCTGGAGGGTTCATACGGGGACTCTTTGTGAGGCAATTGCAGGGAGAAAGCTAACGAGGGGTATTTCAGTCACACCGAGGGCGGGCGAAGCGCGCTGCGGGGCAGCTCAGCCCTCCACCCCCTGCCCTTCTGCAGGAGGAGAGAGGGGAAAGCGTCAGGGTGAAGCAACACTTCTAGAGAAAGGGGTGAGAGCACCAGAGGGGACCAGCCACACTCTCCTTTTACAGGCAGAGATGATTATTGTAATTAGTGCAGCTGCCTCAATTGAACTCTCCTTCCAACTTGTTGCATTTCCCACCCAGCGCCTGATAAGAATCATAGAGCCTGATAAGAATCATTTCAGATCATCGAGTCCAACCATCAACCCACCACTGACAAACCCACCACTGACCCATGTCCCTCAGCACCACGTCTGCCCGGCTTTGAAATCCCTCCAGGGATGGGGACTCCACCACTGCCCTGGGCAGCCTCTGCCAAGGATTGACAACCCTTTCAGTGTAAAAATTTTTCCTAATATCCAATCTAAATTCCAAACTTGAAGTTACCCACGCTGGTATAATGCAGAAAATTAACTAGAGCAACAATTTAGGTGGCCAAAACATGCATTTCAGGAGAGCAGAAACCAGGCGGAGGGAACACAAGGCAATATCCATTCTTCAAGCCTTGTTGTCAAAACAGTCCCTCTACAAAAGCTACTCAGAACAAAAAAAACAAACCACACAAATTTCCTTGGATTTAATGGTTTCAAGCTGGTGAACTCTAGTGCTGCATGAGCCCAGCTCATTAGAGCAATTAAAGCTCGAAGTCAGGCAAGTGGTCCTATAGAATCAAAGAATGGTTTGGGTGGGAAGGGACCTTCAAGATCATCCACTTCCACCCCCTGCCCTGGGCAGGGACACCTCCCACCACACCAGGTTGCTCCAAGCCCCCTCCAACCTGCCCTTCAACCCCTCCAGGGATGGGGCAGCCACAGCTTCTCGGGCCAACCTGGGCCAGGCTCTCACCACCCTCCCACCAAACAAGTCCTTCCCCACAGCTCAGCTCCATCTCCCTTTGGGAAGCTCCTCTCCTCCACGGTGCCTGGGGGTGCTGAAGCCGAGCAGTGGTGGCAGCAGGGACTTACCACCTGGCTGATGTCATATCCCCAGGGCAGGAAGAGGATCCCTGTGTTATACTTCTCCCAGTGGGAGAGGATGAAGGAAAACAAGACCACCCATAAGAGGAGGTAGAGAACGAAGACACTGACGCCCGTGGAGCCCCGTCCGAAGGTGGAATAGACTGTCACCACAAAGTAGACACATGCCCAGCTGTCCAGGCCGTGATCAAAGAGCTCTCCCAGGGGCGTGCTGGAGTTGGTCCGGCGAGCCTGCTTCCCATCAACACCATCTGGGGAGAGAAGGAGGATAAATGGGGAGTTTTGTTGGACACCCCCCAAGAAGGTAACAGCCAGTTTGCGGCTGACAAAGCATGGCACCAGCGAAGAGCAGCTTTCACCACCTCCACCCTCTAACGGGGAGCGTGATTCGCACCCCCCTGTTCTACTTGAGACTAAAGATGCAGTAAAATCTGGCCAAATTATATTTATTTAAACCAGACCAAAGACAGAATTTCACAATTCATCTCGAAGTCAGCCCCAGCATCCTCCTTTCACATCAGCTGCTCTGGGACAAGTTCCTTCTATCCACTTGGCCAAGCAACTGACCCGAAGGGTTAGAGCGTGGCAGAAGCCCAGAATCAAAGATTTCTCAACAGGTTCAGAGATAAGAAAACACACCGGTCACGCAGCTGCAGCGTGAACAGGCGCCAGACACGATCTCCCCCCAAAAATCAACCAGATAAAGTCTTACCTAACGTGTAGGCAATGAAGTTGAGGAGGCCCACAACGACCCACACACCATTTGGAACGTGCTGGTGATCAGGAGCTGCAGAGATCAGAAGGACCCAAGTCAGGACAGCTCGGTGTGGACTTTGGATGAGTTTATTCTGAGCACAAGGGCCGGCAGCTCACCAAAGACAAAGCACCCACACAGCTCAAAACAGTGGAACTGAGAGGTCAGCTTCCCAGGACGTGAGGGAAGAGCCGGGTCAACAAGGACTTTGCTTTCCTTCTTCCCCAAAGCCACGGGATCTAAGAACTGGTGGTGGCACCTATAGCTCAAATGCATGACAGGGAAGTGTGTGCAGATCAGACTCTGCTCAATCCCCTGCTCACAGAGCATCAAGTGGAGCCTCCTTGAGATGTGGTAACACCCTGGCTCCAGAGACACACACAAGGATTCCCCTCCCAGTCTCCAGTCTGCATCCTGCCAATCGGACCAGTTCCTCCTTAATAACCTCCCCACCTCCTCCAGCCCCATTGGGCAGATGGCCAGCTCAGATGTCTGCAAGGAGGGAGCCCAAATGTGAAAAAAGCAGGAAGAGGCAGGACTTTCTGGCAGCAGCCTTGCAGGAGGCCACATGGAGGTCTCCTAGGGGAAACAATGATTCCCTCAAATGCCACCTCCTGCTTCCTCAGAGCAGCACGATGGTGCCTCTCCAGCAGCAAAGAGAGGCTATCGAGTCTGCAAAAGCATCCAACAAGGAGGGAAGGCACAACCTCCTGGAGGTCTCGCCAGCAGAAGGAAGAGTTCTCCTTCCAAGCAGGACACGCATGACACAGATGTAAAAGGGTCCCAAAGCACGAGCTTCACCACTCTTTCAGCACAGCCCAAATTTTTGGATGGGTGATGTCCTGGGGATTCTCACATTGAATTTCCCTCCCTGAACTATTGTCAGCTTTTCTTCCCAGGGCTCATGGACCAAAACTCAGCTCAAATCTCAGCTAACAGCCAGTGATGGAGCAAAGCTTTGGGAAGCCTGGCATATAGATAAACTACTCGTCTACCTGACAATAAAGGCAATCCCAAGAAACCACTATTTTTCCTACTTAACCGTGTTTTGATGATTGTCCCAGCTTTAGAAGTCAATGAACTCTTCTGAGCAAACCAAACCAGGCAGGGGCAAAGAGAGAGGAAGCTACTGGTAACTGACTGGGAATTATCACGCTGTATTAATCCTTTCCCTGGGACACCCCCAGGAGGAAGGGGACACAACCAAACCTTGGGATTCCCAAACAGATGAACATGGGTACAGCTAAAATAAAGCTGTGTGTATCCTTGCCTTCTGCAGAACAGTGAAACCTAGAAAGAGGATTTTGCCTCTGTTAGTCCGAACATGGTGCTGGCTCATTTTTGCAAGCGGGTAATTAGCCGGGATGCAAAGAACAAGGCTCTACCTGCTGGCTTCAGGGAAGCACGAGTTTCCCACATTACCCTGTTAGGTTTTAAAATAGACCAGGGGCATTAGAAGATTTTAAAACCTTGTCTGCTCTGCAGGCAGAGCCAATTCCTACTCAGGATTTCAGCCATTTCCTCCTCCCTCACCCGAACACTGCCAGCCAGGCACGTGTCCACCCAGCAGCCCGAGGGAAGGCGAAGTATTCACAGAATCATGGAACCTTTTGGGTGGGAAGGGACCTCAAAGCCCCCCCAGTGCCACCCCCTGCCCTGGGCAGGGACACCTCCCACCACACCAGGTGGCTCCAAGCCCCCTCCAACCTGCCCTTGAACCCCTCCAGGGATGGGGCAGCCACAGCTTCTCGGGCCAACCTGGGCCAGGCTCTCACCACCCTCCCACCAAACAAGTTCTTCCCCACAGCTCAGCTCCATCTCCCCTCTTGCAGTGTCCAACCCTTCCCCCTCCTCCTAGGGCTCCCCTCCCTCAGCCAGAGTCACTCCCCATCCATCTCTCCTATTCAGACAAGCCCTTGTCATGAAGCCCAGGAAGTTCAACACCTCAACCCTGTCCCTCTTCTGTCCCTGCTCCTGGGAATGCCCAGACTGAGAGGTCTCATCAATCACCGAGCACCGTAAGTCAGGGCAGAGGAGGTGACAGATTTCACCGCTCCGATGCCTGGCATCCAAACAGGAACTGCAGCACAGCCTTACCAGAAGCATAAAAGTCAGGGTCGAAGTATGCCATGAGGAGGAAGTTGAAGACAAGCAGCAGGAAGCCAGAAAACGTTATCAAATTTGGGGCCAGCCAGGTGGGGAAGATCTATGGGAAAGCAGCAAAAGAACACATCAAACTGGTTAAAACATGTAATGAGGAGTATGTGCTGCCCCCAGCCACGGCAGAGACTGGGTTACAATCATCTGGGCATCAGACAGCACTGTTTAGTTGCATCCAGCACATGGTGGGGCAGCAGAAAGCTTTAGGCTGCAACGCAGGGAGCTTGGGGCAGGCTGCAGGCTGGAAGGCAGCACCCTTTGCAATTAGTTGCACCACTAATGAAGCAGGTCCTTCAGGTGGCGGGTTTATGGAGGAGACTTTGTGGTGACTGGAGTTTTGCCATCCCGCTTGGGGCAGGATGAGGTCTCACCTTCACTATCGTGTTCCAGAAGGGATGCATGACGTACAGAGAGAGGGGGTTGCTGTCCACGGCACTGTACTGTGAAAAACAAGTGAAAAAGAACAATAATTAGGGCTCCAACAACACTTGCAAAAAGCCAGAGATGACGAATATTGAGCTCTCCATGAGGACACCTCCTACCTGAGTCCTGGCATCGCGAGAACACCCAGGTCAGGGATGAAGCCTCACCAGGGATGGTGCTAAACAACCCAAAAAGCACCCACGAGCTCCAGCAACACTGGCCATGGACCAGCAGAGGCAGCTCTCATTGAACATCTCATTTCTGAACCCCATCCCTCCCTTCCACAAGGAGCAGTCCCATGAAAAGAGCGGGTTGCACATGAACTGCAGTGGTTCTTGGAAGGTTTTATGGAAGGAGGGAAGAGATGTAAGGACACACAACCTTTTTTGCAGCCAACGTTCTCGCCAGAGCCCCACACCCCAGTGGCCACGCTGCAGGCCTGGTGGCACTCTTCACAAGCTGGAGAAGAAGGGACAGTCCCATGGCCCCAAGCACCCACACTGTGGGACCAACCCACAGAGGACAGCTTGGCACACTCTTATTGGAGCAACCATGTAGAGTCCTGTCCCACAAGACAAGCAGGGACCTTCTTGGCTCAGCACCATGCAGAAGGGCAGGGGGAGACTTCTCCACCAACCATGAGAAGTGGAGCCACTCCTGGTCTCCAGGCTCCTCAGCTCTCACACCCTGGCACCCCTTTCACCAACTGCTGCAGGAGGACAGAGATAAGTCCTCTCCCTCAAGTAACATTTTGATAAGATTCCCAAGAAAAATTCCATACACTACAGAACTCCTCAGCTTCATGTGCTCAGTGCCAAGCAGGGCAGCTCCTGGTGGCCACCCAGCTGGGGTCAGCCTCAGGACACCACCCCATGAGTTGAATCCCAAGTTTAAGAGCAGTGTTACGGGAAAGCAATCAAAGCCTCCACCGCCACAGATGTAACCTATGCACTGCCCAAGATAAGCTGGTAGAGAAAAGCCATCGATCAGCAGAGGAGCTCCGGGTCCCCACCCACCCCATGGCCTTGAACTAGCCACTGTCTCTGCACCCATGGCTTCTTCCTCCCTCCCTGCTCCTCTCCTCACCTGGAAACCCTGGAAGCAAAGGGGACAGTTTATCTGTTTCAAAACCCAGGAAGAAAAGTGGTGGGAAAGGGGAAAGGAACACCCCACAAGAGAGAGGAGAGCATGACGAAGGTCTCTCCAGGCTCTGAGCATCCAGGCTAAGAGCTTACAGCATTTGTTCCTACTGGGGTAACCCCAACCTTGGCAAGGATTTCTGTACCCCCCCCCATCAGCTCTTTCCTGCCCTCCCCATGATGGATTGTTCTTTCTTACTGGGGGTGAGCCCCACGCTTGCATCCCCACATCAGCAAACCCACAAGAGACCACAGAATGGTTTGGGTGGGAAGGGACCTCAAAGCCCCCCCAGTGCCACCCCCTGCCCTGGGCAGGGACACCTCCCACCACACCAGGTTGCTCCAAGCCCCCTCCAACCTGCCCTTGAACCCCTCCAGGGATGGGGCAGCCACAGCTTCTCGGGCCAACCTGGGCCAGGCTCTCACCACCCTCCCACCAAACAAGTTCTTCCCCACAGCTCAGCTCCATCTCCCCTCTTGCAGGGTCCAACCCTTCCCCCTCCTCCTAGGGCTCCCCTCCCTCAGCCAGAGTCCATCCCCAGCTTTCCTGGAGCCCCCCTGCCTCCCAGCATCTCCAGGGCCTCCTCTGGCCCCGCTCCAACAGCTCCATGTCCTTCAGGCAGATGCAGAGCAAGCGGCAACAAAACCCCGAACTTGATGCCATAAGGAGGTGAGGTTTATGCTGCAAGGAATTTCCATCCCAGCTTAATGCAATTTCAGGGGACAGAATTCCAGTCTCTTTACAAGGTAATAGGATTTGAACCCCTGGAGGAATAGAGCTGGAGACTGATTAAATCTCATTATCCCCAAAACAGCCTGGAAGAAGAAAACAGACACAATGCTTGGAGTGAGGCAGGGAAACGCCCTGGAGTTTGTGCTCGTGTCTGTAGGGTTCCTCGGGAAAGTTGCCCCAGACCTGTGTCCCAAGAAGCTTTTCCCATCTCTCCCCACACTTGGGGGCTGGTGATAATACTCAATAAGCAGCTTTTCCCCACGGTCACACAACGTTCCCACTCTGCTTGCAGAACTCACATACCTGGAATGACCCGTTTCTCAGGGGGTTTTGTAGCTGTTTCGCAGATGTTTGCTGACACAACCACCCCAGCTTCAGCTGCTCTCCTGGAAGGAGGAGGGACAGGCAACATGGGCACCATCACCACCTCCTCAGGGCACAGGGCTTCTACGTGGCCAGAGCTGGAAGCAAAGCAAGCTGCGGAGATGCTTCACTTGCAGCTCACTCCTCTGGCTGCTCCTCCTCAGCCATGGGAAGAGGCCAGTCTGAGAGAGTTGGGGGGGTCAGCCTGGAGAAGAGAAGGCTCTGGGGAGACCTTGGAGCCCCTTCCAGTCCCTAAAGAAGGGGGGCTCCAGGAAAGCTGGGGAGGGACTCTGGATGAGGGAGGGGAGCCCTAGGAGGAGGGGGAAAGGTTTGACACCAAAAGAAGGGAGACGGAAATAGAAGGAAGAAATGATGAGATCTTATGAAGAAATTCTCCTTCAGTGACAGAGACAGACATCTGTCCTTGAAGGAAGCCATCAGCTAGGCTCCTTGTTCCTGCATCAGCCCTTCAGGGTTAACATGTTTGGAGACCGACAGTCCCAGAGAAATACAGGCTGGGGATATCTGTCCCAATCCGCAGCTTTGGACACACTCATGCCTTGGGTTGAAGCTGAGAAAGGAGCTCATCCTTCCCCAGAGCTCCTCTCACTCTGCTGCTGTGGCTGCTCTCATGAAACATTCTCAAGGTGTCATTCACCCACCTCGTCCTCACTGAGAATCAGCATCAGCTTTTCCATTTTCAATCCGTACACGTTGCTCTAGTGACTCACACGTGTGACATACCCTTCTCCAAGTCATTTTTCTGCCCCCAGGTTGGACTCTGTCACCAGCCAGGACTCTGATTCCTCCCTCCTTTTCCGGGAGAGAAGGTCAAACCAAAAGCTCAAGCGCACGGAAGGAGTTTTGTACACCCCAGAGCCTCCTTCCTCAAAGGAGACAGCCCATTTTTAATGATCCTTACTCTAAAATAGCCCCGTTTGTGCAGACATCACTTCTCCTTACGATTGCAGGAAGGAGCCAACCCGGCTCTGGCAGTCCCCTTGGGATTTGGTTTTAAATTTCTTAAGAAAAAGCCAACTTTGCAGCAACTTTCTCATCACTCACAGCCCCCCTCGTGCCCCGTCCATGCCAGGGTGGCTCAGCCCCTGGCTGACTCCATCCAGACAGTCCTGGCTACCACAGAGGCCCCAGTGGCCAGCTGACTGCCCTCCTGGGATTTACGGACACCAACGGCTCACACAGCTTAAAAACAACATTAATCAGGCAACCAGGACACTTCTGGAAGATCCAATTATGTGTCCAAGGAGGGGGAAAAAAAAAAATACAGATTTATAGTCCAGATTCTACTAATAGCCTTCCTGGCCAGGAAAACAATTCGACTTTTAATTAATCGGGTTACCCGGAGCCAGCAGCAGAACAAATGCTGTCACCCGGGTGCCCCTGTGACAGAGACCTGAATGGATACGGGGTGGGCTGGGGACAGCAAGCAAAGATAGATCCATACACCCCATTTTGCTCCGACAAGGCCCACAGTAGCCTCTGCTGCCAGCCACAAGCCCAGGTTTCATGGCTTGCACCAGCAGCAGGAGTGGGGCAGTGGCAGCCTCTGCAGGGCGGCTCTAGCAAGTCCCTAAGGCCGTTTCCTACAAATCTCCTTAAGTACGAAGAGGGCACAAGGCTAAGAACCTTCTCCCATCAGGCTTGAGATAAGCCAGGAGGCAGCAAACATGACAGTCCCTGGCCAACACCATGGAGCAGAGCCATGACAGGGCAAACAAGCCACGTCTGCGCCGTGCCCGCCTGCCACCGAGGCAGAAGTCACACTGTGCTCTAACGCTACTCATTAACTCGAGTCCTGTTTATCTTTTCTAAGGTCACTTCTCCGCTGGCACAAGAATGGAGCACACTGGCAGTGCCACCAGCACTGGAGCTGAGGGATTTGGCTCCCACCAGACGGCAGCAGGGAGGACGTCCCCTCTGCCTGCCCTGCCTTCAGCATCACAGAACCGTTTGGGTGGGAAGGGACCTTCAAGATCATCCAGTGCCACCCCCTGCCCTGGGCAGGGACACCTCCCACCACACCAGGTTGCTCCAAGCCCCCTCCAACCTGCCCTTCAACCCCTCCAGGGATGGGGCAGCCACAGCTTCTCGGGCCAACCTGGGCCAGGCTCTCACCACCCTCCCACCAAACAAGTTCTTCCCCACAGCTCATCTCATCTCTCAGCTGCCCTTTGCCTCTTGCTCAGCATCGATGAGGTCCCCTCTCAGTCTGCTCTTCTCCAGCTGAACAGCCCCAGCTCTCTCAGCCTTTCCTCAGCAGAGAGATGCTCCAGTCTCTTCATCATCTTTGTCACCTCCACTGGACTATCTCCAGCAGTTCCCTGTCCTTCTTGAACTGGGGAGCCCAGAAGTGGACCCAGTACTGCAGCTGTGGCTTCACCAGGGCAGAGCAGAGCAGAAGGATGATGTCCCTCCACCTGCTGACCTGAGACCTGCTGGACTCATTCTCCAGCACAGTCGGACCCAGTACTGCAGCTGTGGCCTCACCAGGGCAGAGCAGAGCAGAAGGATGATGTCCCTCCACCTGCTGACCTGAGACCTGCTGGACTCATTCTCCAGCACAGTGGCTAATGAGGGACCTGCCTGTGGTCACCCCAGTAGCTCACCTTAAAGACCCACCTGACAGGGAACCCACACTCAAGCTGATGCTCATCCAGAGAGCTGCAGGTCTGTGGTGGTATACCAGGGTCACCCCATGGTGGGACAGAGCCAACAGCCAGCCCCACCACCCTGCTGCCGAGTCCCAACCCCATCCCATCACCGTGCTGGGCGGGAAATATCCTTTCCCTGTGGATACGTAACAAG